TAAAACTTTTATTCAGCAAGGATGTGTTAAATTGAAAAGTGATAGCAAAGATTTATATTGTTAGAAAATATTATATTTTGAATAAATGCTGTTCTTTTTAACGTTTTATTCATCAAAGAATCCTGAAGAAAGTATTGCAGTCTCCAAAAAAATATTAGGCAGCACAACTGTTGCCAACATTGATAATTCTAATAATAAATCAGCATATTAGAATGACTTCTGAAGGATCATGATCAAACTTGCTGCAGAAAAGCATCCTCTTGGTCTATGAAAAGGGTCTTTTGTCATTCCTTCATGAAAACTCATATTTTTAATGAACCCATTGAATAAGTTCACAAAACCGGTCTGAGCAATTTGTTCCCAAATCGAACAGAATTTGTTTTAGAAGAGCGGTTTAGGATCTCATTAAACAGAAAACAGTCTTTTTTAATGATATGATTTTAATAAGTAATATTTTATTTAAAATATGCAGTACCATTCATGTCACAAACTCTTACCGCCCACCATGGAAGGAGCCTGCCGATTTGGGTCCAGCTGCTCCTGCTCACTAGATACCCAACAACGGGATCAGCCACGGCATCCCAGGCATGACTGATAAACTGAATCAAAGACACAAAAAAAGCCTCCATCTGCACACCAAACAAGAGCTAAACAGAGAATTGAGGGTAAATACGAGAATATATACGGGAGATTCCACTAAAGAGATGAGGTTGCTGCGATTAAATGCTTCTATACAAGAACAAAAAAAAAAATCTCAGACATAACTTTAGTACACAAGGCAGTTACCTTAAGGTAAGTTAACTTAAAATTAAATGGATTTGTAAGTACTCTTTCCTCTTGAAAGTGAAACTACACTTTCATTTAAAATATGAAAATCCCCCAAATATTTTTTTTTCCATTGATAGCCATTCAAAATTGGCAAGGTTTTATGACAACTTTAACAAATGTTTCATTATATTTGAATAGATGTTTTTGCAATGCCATATTCTTGTTTGGAGGCTCATAAAAGTGTGAAACGGGCTTACATTGTTCCATATTTCTTAGCTTTTTCCAGGTGTTATAAACCTTCTTGGTTATTCCAAGGGGAACAAAGTTTATTTACATAGTATTCCATCAAAATGTAGTAACTTGCTCCATCTCTGAAATGACCTCGTTTTTGAGCTAATGTCACTTTGGCTGCACTGGCGTTTAAAAAAATATTTTAAACCAATAACGATGTAGTTTTTTAGGAATTATTTGAGCAATTCTGGTCACTTACACGATCCAGTCAAGTCCTGACCTACGCTTTTTATCTTTTTTCAAATTCACATAGAAATACAAAACATCATAGGAGTCAAACTGGTTGTGAATGTGTTTCATGTTGACTTTTAACTGAAAAAATAGGAGGGTGGGCTTCAACAGAAGGAAATGGTTTTATTAGATTAATATACAGAATACTGGGAGACTGAAGTAGAGCAGATGGCAAATGCAAGTATGGTCTGCAATAAGAATGCATTTGACTGTATAAATATAAATCATTAAGCCGTCGTTGGACTATAATTCAGCCAAAGGTGAGGAAAGGCAGATTCTTACCTGTACTACATCTAACAGAAAGATCTGTAGTGAAAAACCCATAGCAATGTTGGTCATCTGATATGGGACACCACCTACTGCATAACACAGCTTTGTGGAAAGGGGAAGCCTCACCTTATTGTGAAGACACAGAAAGATCGAACAAAGACAGAGACGTCAGCCTCTTAAAAAATGAAAAAGCATACAAAAGTTTAAAAGAGGTATGCTCTGTATGGATGTACTTCCAGAGGTTTCTTGTCTTTCTCTGTTGCCATATTCATCACTGATGCAAGTGAAAACACTCTGTTCGTTATCTAGCCGTGTTGTAGCAGTCGGCATACTGTGGTCAGCGAGCGCTGTGTTGATTGTAAGCTATCTTGCAGCCTGATTGGTCTTTGTGGTCTGTTGTTTTGATCTTTAATCATAACCGGTTCGCTCGTGCCTGTTGAATACTAAGTGGAGTGAAAGCAGTGAAACTAGTCCAGCTGAATGCTGATTTCACTGATCCTCCCACAGGTACAGCACACTGTAACTAGAGCTGCTGTCAGGCACACAGGGACTACTTTAAGTAAACACAATTTAATTTAATAATTAATAATAATTTATGCATTTAGCAGACGCTTTTATCCAAAGCGACTTACAGTGCATTCAGGCTATACATTTTTTACCAGTATGTGTGTTCCCTGGGAATCGAACCCACGACCTTTTGCACTGCTAATGCAATGCTCTACCACTGAGCGATCACCTACAATTTGTAGAACAACATTGATTTATTTTTTAATGAATAATTTTTCATTATAAACTTTCATTTGTTGGGTTACTTTCTGGATTTAGAGAAAGTATTTCAGTTAGAGGCAAAAATCCTAAGAATGTCAGTATATCAAGAAGGATCTTATTCCATTCTTAAAATCTTATGGCATATTATGTAAATTTTTAATGAATTTTTAAATTATTGTATTAGGTTTTGCTGAGGGATTCCAGTGGGAGCTACTGGAGTATTTGAAAATATCAAAATTGAAGCATAAATAGACGTATTTAAAGTGATTGAATTCATAGTTAGACGTAGTTTAGTAGTTAAAACGTAACATTTTCAATACAATTTTTAATTACCATTTTTAAATTGTATTTGACTGTTTCAATTAAAAATAACATTGGAGTGTTTATTGCAACTTTATTTTAGATACTATTATAGTTTTATCAATAGTTTGAAATTTTTTTTTTTTTTTTAATTAAAAGTAGTACTTTTGTTTCATTTAGTCATTTTTATCATTTGTCATTTTTTTAAAAGTCTATATAGTTTCATTTTCAGTATATAGTTATTTTAGTCCATCAAGTTAAACTAAATACAAATTTGAAATGTTCCTTGACAGCTAGCTGAAATAAAATGTTTTAAAGGAGACATATTATGCCTCTTTTTACAATATGTAATATAAGTCTCTGGTGTCCCCAGAATGTGTCTGTGAAGTTTCAGCTGAAAATACTCCACAGATCATTTATTATATCATTTTGAAAATGCCTATTTTGAGTGGAAGCAGAAACACGCTGTTTTTCGGGCCTGTGTCTTTAAATGCAAATGAGCTGCTGCTCCCCGCCCCCTTTTCCAGAATAGAGCTGCGCCATTACAGCTCGGACCTGCTGAAACACATCTGTTTTCGTTCTGATTATCATGTTTATCGTGCTGAAATCATGCGTTTTAAACCATACGAGTTAAAACTTCTGATATATACGGTTTTCTGAGCGCACACATCCGAAGCACACGCACAGAAAGCGGCTGTCACAGCATGCGAGTACTAAACTAAGTTCTCATTCACACACAAGTTTACGTTAAAAACACACACGAGTTACAAAAACAGTTGGTTATGTCTGTGAAGGTAAACAGCTGGGAAATAAATCGCATGATTATTTTAGATCTGTGTGGCAGCAGCAGTAAATAAATCAACTCTGAGGCTGGGACTGTAAATGTTGTTTTGTGCTCGTCTGTGCAGCCAAAGACAGAACAGTTAGCATGTTTTGCTCAAACTTTCGCCATGGCATTAGAGCTGGTACATCGTGGGTGTAAACTTACAGATTAAGGGGCGGTAATATTATAATGAGATCCCTTTGCCACGTCACCAAGGGAGCGAAATCAGACGTGCTCGTTTTCTCAGACGCTTGCAGAAAAAGGCTTCCCAAAACAAAGTTACTGGGTTAATCTTTTTCACGTTTCCTTGGTTGGTAGATGCACCGGGGACCTGATTATAGCACTTAAAACCTGGAAAAGTCAGATTTTCATGATGTCACCTTTAATATTTTATTTTATTTCAGTTAATATTTACTGTATTTCAAGTAACAAAAAGTATTTTATTTTCTTGTATGGTTTTACTTTTGGTTAACTATAATAACCCTGTTCGGACGAGTGTATAAATACCATGCACCAGAAAAAAAACAAAAACAAAAAAACAATGTCTTTGTCAAATAATACAGTTACTTTATAACTACATACTGTCAGTTTAATATATAGTTCACAATGTTTAATCATAAAAACAATAAAAATAAATAGTTGTTTATTTTCCATTTATTTATTATTAAGAACACAATCAAATATTCATCTAATAAATTATCATAATGATCATAATTTGTCAGTTGTACACTATAACAGTACATTATGGGTATAAAAGTGTGCATTATATAGGGAATTAAATAATTTATTTAGAATTTGTAAAATGGCTGGCACCTATTATTGTGACATTACATCGATCGACAGCGATTTACAGTAAGTTGGAAACGGGAATTACATGGTTCTCTTTAATGTTGGAGAAGCAACTTTGAAACTGTAGTTTGTCGTGCTACAATTTAAAGTAATTCAGCTAAAGCCGTGTCCACAGGAACCCAGTTTCACTCCTGTGTGACCCATGAAATGGAAAGTTACAGAGATTAGTTTTCATCACTTTCCCCTTGAACAGAAAACTTAGTCCCAGGTTGTTTGTAGACGCTTGTACCATTCACAAACTATTAAGAGATAGATGGGTTGGGCACAAGAGAAGGTAAGTGTTTCCACAGCTTTGATGGAAATACAGAGGTTAGACGCAAGGTTAAAACCATGTTCTAAAAAAGTAACTACATCCCCCACATTCTTCCTGGCCATAATAACAGGAAATGATGATAAAGTGAAAACAGAAGAAAAAAAAAACGTTGCGAGTGCGACCTTCAAATACTGTATTCTTTTAAATGTTATTTTTATGCCAGAGGAAACACCAGTTTTGACGCCACCCCAATTCAAGCAACTGTATTTGTTACAGTCCAGACTGTTACATAGTATACAATAACAAAACAGAAAAGCTCTGGGGTAAATTCATTTTTATTCCCATTCTTTAAGATCAGTTTTCTAAAACGGTCTATTTGTCAGTACAACACAACACTGGTTTTTGGACTGCCATTTGTTGACAAACATCTTAACAGATCAAATCTGCTCACTTCTGCTCAAATCATACAAAAAATATGTTGTGTACCATTGCATTCAGTCTACCAAATGTTACCAAAACATCAAAGTTGTACCCCCTTCTGTCTCATAATACTCATAATAAAGATCTGAGGCAACTGAGTCAACCAATTAGTTTTAAGATTTTGACAAACAATAGAAATATTCACATATTATTTGTCATCACGACACAAGATACAAGATATTAAAACAAGCAATAAAGCTTAGCTGCAATAAGGTCCACAGTAAAACAAATTATTTTTTGGATGACACAAATAACTTTGCATTCATCAATTTTGCATATCTCCACCAAAACTCCTGCCATTGTTTGATTTGGCCTGTCAAGTACAGCCTGTCATTGCTGAAAAAGACAACAATGCAATGGTGGTCACCATAACAATGCAACCATGCATGTGTAGTTATTGTTTTGAGAACACGGGTGTTTACGGTAAGGCAATTGACAACGATGCGTAAGCTATCATATATGACATGTACAGCAGATTCAACTAGACAACTTTAAAGTATACAGATAAGCGACAAAATTCTAAATGGGAAAAGTAAGCATTTTGTACTACATTTCAGTCTGGATAGTGGTTGTTTGTTAGTCCCTTGTTGTCTGTTACATATCGGCCACTTTGGGACTCTCTTTGGCCTGGCGCATCCCATAAAGCCACTTGATCACTCGAGCATTTCTCTCAATGACGGAAACACCATAAACAGGACGTTCGTCTTTTGCTGCTGCTTCTTCCTCATCTTCACCCTCAGCCGAACGTTCGGATGCCGGGGCACTGGCGCTACGTAGACGTGAAACGGACACAATGTCAGAACCCGGTCTTGCTAACTCCTCTAAATCCGATGGGTCAAGGCCACAATAATTAAAGAAGCGCTCAAGCTCTGCTCCTGCGCGTGAAAAGCAGTCGCTGACGTCCGATTTTGAGCGTGTCAGTGAAGGACGCTTCCTGGAGCTTGTTGAGGAGATGCGAGTGATGGCTGGAGATGGCGGAGACTGGAAGTCATTTTTGGCTAGGGGTGAATCAATGGAGTTTGGAGCAAGTGGGGTCGGTGAGGGACATGATAATGGTTCTGTGTTTGGTTTTATGGGGAGGGGTAGAGGTGGGCTAGTTGGGGATTTCAAAGGAGGTGAGGTTTGCGCAGCACAGTTTGGTGGTTTAATAGGTCCTCTGGTGACTTTTGTTTGTGGGACATTGTGGAGCCTTTTGAAGTCAGTTGGTTGCTGATTTGGCTGCATGTACGGTCTAAGCAAGCGCAGAAGTTGCATTGGGACCTGCGGCATGGTCTGTTGCACCAGTGAGCGGTTCTGTAGCTGTGGTCTACCGGCCATCCTCATCTGAGGTAACTGGGGTCTGACGTCGACTCTCCGCACTGTCATGGTAGGACATCCGCTTGCCCCTGAGGCTTCTACTGCAGCTTTTCCTTGACTTGCAGAAGTCGACCCCAGAGAAGGTTCTTCCAGTGTTGGAGAAGTGGCCTTGCATGGATCTGTAGCATCTTTCTCATTGCTGCTGGGTTGTGTAGAAACCACTGGAACTGTGGCATCACTGACTCCATCAATCAGCTTGCAAAGATGTTCCAGGTTAAGGGGTGGCGTCTCAGACTTTGTGGGTCTCGCAGGGATCTTCCTTGATGGCTGTTGAGCAACTTGTACATTCTGGCTGTTGTTGGCGGGAGAAATAACTGGCTGCTGCTTCTTCAAAACCACCTGTTGGCTCTTGACGTACTTGGCCTTGTCTGCTTCCAAACGTTCCACTGCACTTGGTTTGCGTATCCCAGGAGATGTTTTGACTGGACAACTGGACTCTGCGTTGCGACTTGGAGTGGCAGGAGCTACAGCCAGCCTTATTATTCTCCGTGAAGACGGCTGGAGAGTGTCAGTTGACATCCTTGGAAATGAAAAACTTCAGCTGTTTCTTTTTTTTCTGCACTGGTTTGCTCGGAAGTAGATGAATGGACTTATAGACAGAGTATACTTCCACATCCATGGGTTAGATTCATGCTTTAATACCTGGGGGAACAGAAATATTATGACAAACAGACAATTGCAACCAGACATCATGCTAGACGGTTTACTCTTCTATGCACACACGATTTTAATGACTTTGCAATAGTTTTAATAAGTTTTTTTTTTCTTTTCATTTGCTGAAGAAAATGTGAGTGGTGCTTGCCTGCGCAAGTCACTAACCACAATGTTAGGGCGTTGTTTGTGGATGGTTGCCAGTGCATTGCAATGTATATCGGGTTTTTAGAATGTGGCTGGGTTTGTTGTGGCTAAAGAAGATATTTTGAAGAATGTGGGTAACCAAATAGTTTTTGGTTCTCATTGACTTCCATAGTATTTTTTTTCCACCCTATGGAACCAACATCTGTTTGGTTACCCGCATTCTTCAAAATATCTGCTTGTGTTCAGCAGA